GCTATTTCCTATTATATTACATGACTGCAAATAACCTTTACATTTCTATACTTCTAAGATTTTTAAATGTAGGAATGTCTGGGTCAGATTCACAAATTACCCCAAGGCCATGAGAATCCTTCAAGAACATTTTATGGAAAAGATTTAAAGCAATTTCTTCGTTATAAGACAGAGAACATAAGCTTTGTATAGAAATTAAATACCTATCTAAATAATTTCCTCTGTACAATAATTACATAGAATAAATTCCACAAGGCAGCTAGACCCCAAAAGTAGATAGAGCTATTTCAGTTCAGTATGTAGTTCACAAAACTTTAGGGTTTTTTTTAAAAAAATATAATAATCTTTGCACTTATTTCTTTGTCATCATCAAGTGTCCAAGCCATACTATCTGACAGCTGAAAAATGGAGCTGTCCATTTTGCTCAAGCTCTACTCATTCTTTTCGTATATTTACATACAACCAGGCCCTTACGTCTGGAACTGCAAACTAGCAACAACACACATTCATTCTGAGTCTGCATCTACAATACTACACATTATAGGAAACTGGGTGATTTCAACCCCTGCACTCCAGACACTGTATAGCTGTCCTGAGACATTTCATGTACTGAGCACATTCTCTTACATGTGGGCAGCTAACTTAAATAACAGAACAATTAGCATTTATAAGCACTAAACTAAAAATAATGAGATTTAATGCATAAATGTGTACTACAGCCAGTAACCAGAAGAAATTCTCCTGCTTCCTAATACACTACACATTTAAAAGTTTTGTACATTGATCTGTCATGTAACTATTTGCTATAGCCAGGTTCTCATACAGAATACTGTAAGATCGTTTTGAGTATTACTAAGATCTGTAAATTACCCACTTCCCAAAGTCCAGGTTTCAAGGTACAGTTCAGATGATTTAGTTTCTCCAAAGACATGGAAGTATATACAGCTCCAAGATAAGATGTGCAAGTAATTGCAGTTGTATTTTATGTGTTTGTAACTATCACAGCTCCTTTTTCTTTCTTTTTCTTTTTTTTTTTTTTTTTCCCCCAGGAGGTCCACAGAAAGATTCAGCTTAGATGAACTTTTATTTTAGTTAAGTAGGTATCTATACAAATTAAAATTCTACAAACACCATCCACATTCAGTGTTTCAACACTAAAATTCCTCTGCTTCCTTTCCTAAACACGTATTTCAAATTTCTAAGTGATTTATTTGAATAACTTTATAGGTGCTGATCCTCAGCTCAGACACTTTATCTTTTATTGAGCTTGGAAGGATCTTTGCTGACAGATCCCTCTTGACTTTGTAAAGAAAAAAAATGAGCCAAAGTGTATTCACAGTTACAAAACACGAGTAAATAGTGACTGGCCTTTCAGGCACAACACTTACACAGCTACTGTACAGGAAAGCAACTCCCTCCATTTTTCATGTAAATCCCAAGTTTAGGTAAACCATTCTCTAAATCTCAGCAACTCTGTTCCCTGCAACTTCAAATATATATACAAGCTAGAAACGAATAAAATTTCACTAGGAGTTTAGATCTATTTACACTGATGTTGTTTCTAAGAACTGTATGTCTCTATCCCATAGAAAAAACTTACTAGAAAAGACAGTGTTTCTAAAAGTGAATAATGGTCATGGAGAAGCATGAAGTGTGTAACCTGCACTGAAAACTGATAATATTCTTTAGGATACTGCCTAAAGCAGCTTAGGAAAATGTCTGTTACTCAGCAAATGTCACAGCAGAAATACGCAGTTTCTCCATGAAACAGATTTTTCTCTTTAGAAAGTTTCAGAAGTGAAACATTCAGTCTCATGTGGGACAGGAATGTTAGTTTGTGCATATACGAGGCTAGTGGTCATAGATTCCAGGTAGCTGAGAGCCCAGACCCTTGCGAAGGCTTTGTCTCTCATCTGTGGGAACCTCCTGTGGCAAGCCACTGGTTACGCTGTTTCTGCAGAAAAGGATTATCAGGGGAGGTTATTATAAGAGACTCTGAGCTTTTTCAAAATGCAGTTTTGCCCTCAAAATATAGTAAATTGTATTAATAATGCTCAACGGTCACAGGAGTACAATAATCCCTGGGCTGCAGTATAACTGCAAGGTAGCTTCTTAATACATCGGAGAGGTTTGGTCTGGCCTAGAGATAAAGGAGCAAGAGAGACGTTACAAAGTCCTACATTTTAAACAGTATTTGCAGTACTTCAGCTACAGAAAAAAAAAAAAAAAAAAAAAAAAAAAGAGGTGTTTACCTCAACAAACAAAATTCTTAAGTTGAACGAAGTTTCCTCAACTCCTTGCGTTGTATTATTCAAACTGAAAGGACTCCTGCTCCTTTCAAATTTGGATAGTGTCATTTTAATGCTTCACTTGGCTATTTTCAAACTGTTCTTTTCTCACATTAACACTGATAAAAGATCAGGTTAAGTTTTATTATTAATAAAACCATGAATAATGATAACAAAAATCCAGCAGACCCAGGTTTGAGAGACAACTTTCATCAGTACTTCACCCCTAAAAGATTTTAATTTATTGGACAGATACCTTTCCATTTTGAGGAAAATTACCTCTCTTTTATTGCAGTGATTTAAGTCAACAGGATTTGTTCAGTCTTCTGAAATTTGATAATGGATTCTTAAGGTGCATAATGAGTATGTGCCTGTTCAGAGTTTACTCTGATCTTTATTTTTCTCCAAAAACATTCATGCAGATAACACTACTGTATGATGCCATCATACCTAAAGAGTTACCTTTGATTATTTCTGGAAAGCAGAATTATTCCAAAGTAATACCTTTGCTTTCAAAGTGACGTGTGTCACCCTCATAGCCCTGATAAGGCTTTTCAGCTGAGACATAAGCCTATTAAGCTCTTGCAGAAGCAGCTGGCTCTGCTGCGCACAGGTGCTGGTAGTCCCCTTGGGAGCAGAAGTCCTAACTGGAAAACTTAATTAATATGCCTGGTGCAGAAACAATAGAAAGCAGTAGAGATTTGCATGTGAAGTAGGTGCACCCTGCTAAGGCTGGTGGTGCTATCCAGGTGGAAGAGGTTTCTTTCCTTTTATTTAAAGGTTTCTGTTGCCTGGCCTGCAGGAAGCTGGAGGATATTTTGCTGGGTTGCCTGGTGTTTCGGTTGGTTTATTGAAAGCAGATGTAACATCCACGGTCTACAGGTGCCAGGAGGTAAGGCCAGCCCATAGGCACTTGAAAATGGGAGCAGGTGTTGGGCTTCAAGTAAAACATTCCTGTGAGGTGTAACCAGCCTTGGGCAGGGTCCTGTCAGCCTTTCAGGGCAGCCAAACCACATAAAATAGTGAATTAACAGCCAACTGTCAGTTTTCCTAGTCACATTTCTCAGCTGTCTGGTACTGCAGATGCTCTCAGGCTGCTTCCTTCAAGGATGTGTGATAACTGTAACAGAACCATTTTTTACAGAAGTTACTTATATCTATGTGTAATTTGTCTTAGCTCACACACACTAAAAAAATACAGATTCAGGCAAAATAAGCAGGCTTCTCCCTGTCTCATAATCTTCACTCCTTTGAGGCATACATTAGGTATGGGTTAAAAATCTTTTAAATCCAGGGAATCACTGATTTTTTTACAAAACAGAGACTTTTCATTGTTCCAGGTGACATTGCTGTGGCTGCACATGCTTTTTCAATTAGATCTTTATGCTTCATTCCTTCTCACTGTTCCCTAAATCTTCAGCAATGTCTGTAGCAGACATAATTATTCTACAGGAACAGAGTATTTGTTTTACTGGGATAGTGAAAAAAAATAATCTCAATGAGCAACATAAAACCCATCACCTGAGGCAGACATTAGGGGTTTCAACTAACTTGGAGTGTTTGACGATCACATCTTTTAACAACACAAAATAGACATTCTTTGTCACTTTGTGGGGAGTAATTTTTTTTCCCCTTCAATCTTTGTTTTCTCTCACTTCAGAAAAGTTGAAGGAAATATCTTTTTACACTTCAGTCAACCAAACCAGCATGGCAAATTCTTTCTGCCTGGAGTTAGCTGTTGAGATGTAACTGCTGCCCTGGCAATTCACACGCTGAGAAATCTCATGATCTCACAGCATCGACACTCGTCCGAGTTACATTCCCAAAGCATCAGCCTGATGCTGTGTTTTATTTGAAATTAATATACATCATGAATATTTAAGCTATTAACTTCTTTATATTCCAGTAGCATCTAACAGACCAATGTGAAATCTCTTCCCCAGTTCGATTTTGAGCTTTCCTTCTAAATCTGTTTGATTCTGTACACTTTCTTCTCCCAGATTCTGGTGCGTAATCTCACCAAATATACGTGATTTAATGAAAATTTAGTTTTACTACTCAGTGCAAAGTGAATAAATAAGGACAATAGTATGAATCAAGTACAATGCAGATTCAGAGTCTTCTTTTGCTAGACAAATAAGTACTATAAATCCTCCAAATTTACACATCATGCTACTGCTAGGATTGACCTGTGCCTCGACTTCAACTAAGAAACCAAGCTCTGATCTGATGTGCAGCTCTTCAAATTCATGTTATAAAAGGGTAATTGCATTTACTGGTATTAAAAACTAATAAAACTTGGACGTCACGAACAGCACGAAGGCCAGCAAGACGCCCAAGCCTGGACGAAGTCGGAGTAAAAAGAAAAAAAAAAAATAAAATAAAATTAAAAGTAAGTTGAAAAGCCGGAGGGATGGGATTGCAAAGCCACTTTCTCGGATTCATTTTTTTTTTTTTTTTTTTTTTTTTTTGCCTTGCCCTCCCCGAAACAGCCCTTCGCGCTGACGACACCAGCAGCCAGCCCGTCCGCGCTGCGCACCGCGGAGCCCCCGCCGCCGGCAGCTCCCGCTCCCCGGCCCCGCCGGGCCGCACCTGGGCCGGCCCCGGCCCCGGCCCCGGCCCCGGCCCCGGCCCCGGCCCCGCCTCCGCCGCCGCTACAAAAGCTGCCGCCGGAGCCGCCGCCGCGCTGCCGCCCGCCGCCGCGGAGCCTCCGCGGGGAGCGGGAGCCGGAGCCTCGCCGGGCCCCCGCGCATGGCGGGGGGGGGCCCGCCCCGGACATGCCCCTCTCTCCGCTCGGCTTCGCTCTCCTCCTGCTGCTGGCGGCCGCGGGAAGGTCCCTCCCCGTCAGGCCGGTGAGTGCCGCGCCGCTGCCGGCGCCGTCCGCTCAACTTGCGCGGCCGCGCCCGAGGTTACCCCGTTCCCCTCAGCCCCCCCCCCCCCCCCCCCGGCGGTGGGTGCGGGGGCCGCTCTCCGCCGCGGTTTTCGTCGGAGCGGGACGCGGGGGGGAGCTGCCGGGCGCGGCTGCCGGTGCCCGGGTGCGCTTCGAGGACAAGCGCGAAGTTACAGAGCGGTACTTTTTGGGTGCTCACGCCAACGCTGGCGAGCGGGAGAAACGGCCGCGGGGTCGGTGCGCGGCGGAGGCGTTCCGCGCGTGGGCCACCGTGCAGCTCGTGCGCCCCCGCGGAGGGTGTCGTGGGGCGAGTTTGGGTTTAAGGCGAAGGGAGGGGAGGAAAGGAACGGAGACGCTGCTGCTATGGGGACGTTGCCCTCGAGGTAACGCTCCCCCCCCCCGGAAATAACGGGCTCGTTCGTCATGTGAAATAAATGTAGGGCCGTGGGAAAAACAGAGCGGAGGGGGTGGCGGCGGAGTGTCGAGGGGGGCGCGGGTGGGAAAGCCCCTTACATGGATGGATGGATGGATGGATGGATGGATGGATGGATGGATGGATGGATGGATGGATGGATGGATGGATGGATGGATGGATGGAGCGAGCAGGGGGTGGCGGGCAGGACCGGCCCAGCTCTGCCCTCCCCAAAACATCGGGAGAATTACTCTTGCGCTTCCTCTGGCAGCGCCCCCGTAAAATTAATGAGGCCGCGGGGTTTCCCCTCTCCGCGGGACCCGTGGGCGCCGTGGGGCTGCTCGGACGGGAGCCGCGCTGGGAAGCGCACACAGCGGCGGGGGGGGCCTGGGGGGGAGGGAACAAAGTGTGATTCGGTTTTGGTTTTCCTGGATACGGATATCGGGGCCCTTAAAGAAGCAACAGGCACAAGTTGCATCAGGGAAAATTCCAGTGAGGAAAATCTCTTCATTGTGAAGATGATCAAACACTGAAGAGGGGAGCCCAGAGAGGCTGGGGGGCCTCTGTCCGTGGGGGTGCTGGTTACTGGACAGGGTGAGGCACCAAGAGGCTTTGAGCTTGTGCCGCTGAGCAAACTACAGATGGGGCTGCCAGAGGCAGAGAGTCGAAGTGAAGCACCTTTCCTGGCAGAGGGGTCTCCTTTAGTGGGATGCAGAACTGGGGGAGGTGAGAAGGGGTTTCGCTGACCTCAATGCTGTGGTCACCCTTTGACTTCAGTCTTGCAATAAACCGAGTACTTTTTATAGCCTGTTCTGACACTAGAGGGTCTTATCTGACAACTTGTCTAGAGCAGTGATTGTGCTTGCTGTATGCTGAGAAAACGTTCAAAATACTCCGCTCAGTCCTAAGTATACAGTAGCGTGGAACTTTTGCTGCCGGGAGTCTTTTCTCAGGTTCAGTTCACAACAGTGTTAAAGGTAGTATTTAAAGTGAACTGAAACTAGCACTGCTTAGGCACGAGTAGGTAGTAAAATCTAGGTGATAACAATCAGCTGCAAGGTCTTCTGGTTTAAATGGGCAAGCCAGGTGTGAGAGGATGGTAGAATGATTTGATACTGAGTTGGGGGACGAAGTATTTTATTGGTACTCTGACCTTCCCTCTCTCTCCCCACAGCCCCTCAAACAAGAAGGAAAGGGGAGGGAGAAGAGAAAGTTGAGAATGTACACAGAAGTAAGAAAAATTTAAGTCCAGAGCTCTTATTTGAGGTGCTGCTGCTTACTTGCCATCAGCTTAAATGCAGGGTGGCTGGAAATTGCTTAATAACTCTCTAGATCTTCTTTACTGCATTGAGGGTAGTAAAATGACCAAGAGCTGGTAGCACATGGCTGCATTGCAGAATCTTATTACTGATGACAAACTGGTGTCCTCTCCCTGCTTGGTCTTGAGCAGCGATGTCCTGCTGCTGACAGAACTGATGTGCAGCGGACTGCTGGTTCCCAACTATCCAGTTTTCTCTTGGATTTGGATTTCACATCCCAGTTTTCCATGTAGGGTATATGCTCGAAGGTTTGATAAGATAATCTTGAAGCGAGTAGTTTAAATGTCAGTGCAAAGCAGACAGGAGCTGTGCCACAGTTCTTAACTGGGGGTTCTGTTCTTCAAACTACTCTGGTGCTCTTGTTCCCCAGGCCAAAATGTGAATCATACAGGCTCTTGGGTGGAAGTACAAGCGGTTGAATTCGGTGGAATGCTTACAGACTTTTTGCTCTCCTCAGCTCTTATTTCTGAAGTGCTCTTGTATGGAAATAGAAAGGTACTGGTATCAAGATCAAGGTTAATTAGAGCATATGAGTATTTAGGTATGTGTATGTTATTGGAACTCTCAATTACTATTGTGTCATTCAGGCTTATTTAGATACAGTTGCTAGTCTGTTCTCTAAACCCATAGTCAGCATGACTTCTTAGGTTGCAGGTGTTAGGGGCACATAGTTACTGCTACTTGCTCACCCTTCTGAAGCCTGCGGTGGCTACTTCTACTTCTGCAGCATCTGCTGCTTTAACCATGGTTATTTAGGATCAGGTATTTGTCTCTGAGAGTGCTAGCTTTGAACCCTGCTAAGCCATGATGAAAAGATGCGATGTGGGGGGATGATTTTGAATGCCTCCTTAGTCTGATGTGCTCTGCCCTTGACAACACAGAAGTCCATGTGCGTTTGAATGACCCAGCACAAGTTTGCAGGACCATGCCTGTTTTGACTTCTTGTCTTCTTTTATGTGCCCTAATGCTGAGAGAACTGAGCTAAGGCTCCTGACTGCCACTGTCCTGTGGATTTGTGTTTTTTAGAAGTCATGAGGGTGGGAAAATGGCTGTAGAGCTTGGCTGAGAAACAACTAGAAAAGTGACCTGGAAACTAGTGACTCCACGCAGAAGCAAGGATGGGGTTTGGACTGCATCTTGATTAGATGGGCATTCATCTGGGCAAAAATCCCTCTGTACTTCGGTTGGTTGGAAGTTCTGAGTTACTCCTTTTCTTTCTCCATTTTCTGCACCCAAAAGCTTGCATAGAGCTGGTTTTCATGTCTCAGCAGCATGTACTGGCAGTGGCGTAGAAAGCAGTGGAGGAAAGGGTGAACAGACAAGGTCTGACACTGTGCCACCTTGCTGTAGTTATTATCAAAGGATACTTGGCTGGCGTCTAGGTAGGGCTTCTTGCCCAGGAATATGACCAGGTTCCTAAAAACTTAATATTTATAGGCCACTTAAATTCATGACTATATTAGTATGGTGTAAAACTCTGAATTACTTAATAGTACAATCATCTGAATTAATACATATTAAATTGCTGTCCCAAATGACTAAAACCTTTGTGTATTCATAAAATAATTTGGGGGTGCTGTGGGTTTTTTGTTTGTTTTGCGTTTTGTTTTGTTTTTTTTTTTTTTTTTTTAGAAACAACTCTAATTTTCTGGAAACATAAAGCTAGTGACAGTGCATGTGCTATAAAGCCAGATGGCCTAACACAGCAAAATCTGATTATACAAGCCAAAAAGAAGATACTGATTTACTTGTTATAATATCACAAACCTTAACTATATGGGGGGGAAAGAACATTTAGGGTTTAAGGAGACTAGGATATCAGAACTCCACGAGCCAAGGAAAGGGCTGTATTTCACACAGCAGATCAATGACTCGGACCTCGGCATTGTTTTAAAGCCCTCATGTCTGGTTCAGGCAAGTTTAAGCTGACAAATCTTTCTACCTTCCCAATATTTCTAGTGCCATTACTGCACCCCACCCCACCCCCCCAGACTAGGCAGCAGTCTGAAAGAGTTTGGACAAAAGTATTTGAGGTAAAGTGTAGACAGTTGCAGCTGGGCATGGAAGGATGTGGTTCATAGCTGTACCAGCAGTGAAGCTTGTGTAGTGCTTTTTTGCAAAAAGAAAAATTCATGTTCTCAAAGGGACAGAAGTGATGGAGCTTTGTAAAACTAAAATTTCTGCGCTCCAGAAGTTGTAGCTCTACAGCTGCAATAGAGTTCACTGAAACTGGGTCTGATAGACAAAGTATAAACAGTTTTCTTCTGGTTATCAAACAGATTTTGAAAGGTATTGTGTCATATCCTGTTTCTGTTAGCTTGTCAAACTAAATTGAGCTTTAATTTGCTGCACTGATAGATCGCCAGTTGCTTGAGAGGACAAACCAGGAGGAGCTGTTATCTCTGAAATCACAGAGCCTTCGCTAACTTATAGCTTGGAGAAGTCCTTTGGAAAACTGATTGTTTCCTTCTGCAATGCTGTAGTGAAATGAAAGCTATTAACTTTGTGTTTGGCTTCTTTCATTAAAAGCTTTTGTATTTCTTCCTCTGTGGTAAACCAGTGTATGTACTGCCGCCAAGGCTGTCTGCTCAAGTTTCCTTGGCGCGGTGCATCAGTTCTATTAGTTTGTGTCTTAACAAAAGTAAGTTTACGCAATAGCAGATACGTCTTTGCTGTGGAAAAAAAGTTGTCTGCTCAGTAGATAAGAGACTTTCTATTTAAGCCCTACAATGTTGTCTTCTTGCAAGGCTGAATTAAAACATCAGGCAGGAACTCCTTTAATTAAATCAAATCTTCCTAACCTAGCTACCCAAGAAAAGACCAAGATTAATGCTTAGTTCTAGTGCTTTCCATCAAAGAGGGATAGGGTGAACAGTATCTAGGGATCTCTAGCATTCCAAATGGAAGGTAGCCCCTTCAAATGTGATAGTTTTAATACAAAATGCAGCAAATTTGAATTTATGATTGGTCAGCATAGGTTTGATGCTGGTGGCTGAATATTGTTCTTTGAGGCCTCTTTTTGCTCAGTGTTGGAAACTGGTGTTTATGAATTGCAGCCACACTGGCCTATGATCTGCTGCATTCCAGTGATCCTTCAGTGTGAACATGGAGGAGCTTGTGAAATGTTTGTCGATCTTCACAAATCGGAGAATCTCCAGGAAAAGCTGCAGCAGCAGCATCTCTGGTTTGTAAGCATAAGCATGGAAGGTCCACCTCTTCCATTGCTGAAGG